CCCTAGAAAAGACAAAATGAGACACATCTTGGTGTTGGCACGTAAAATATGATTTTTTTCAAATAACCAAATGAATGGAAGCACAGGATCTATGAACCAAAGGCTGAGGGGCCCCCAACTGGATCAGGCCACCTGAACGGGTGAGACAGTCATTTGGCTTGATCTGTTTGGGAGGCAGCTGTGCATTGGTGCCAGGTCCTGGGCTCGTTGCATGAGTTGGCTGTTTGAATCCTGGGACTTATGGAGGGACACTTGGCTCGGTCTGGGAGGGGGGAATGGACCTGCCTGGACTGAGTCTACCAGGTCAACCCCGGTTCTCGGGGGAGACCTTGATCTGGAGGAGGTGGGAATGGGGGGTGGGCTGGGGGGAGGGGTGAGCGAGAGGGGGAGAACAGGGGATTCTGTGGCTATTATGTTGAACTGAATGGTGTTGTAAAATAATAATAATAATAATAATAAAAAAACCAAAAAAAAAAAGATAAAAAAAAGTATGATTTTTTTCCTATCCTAACAGGCACCTCAATTAAAATTCCATTGAAGATTTTTTTTTTGCTTTGCCTACTTATGAAGGTCATTAATAGGTTAAATGTGCTTGGCTGGCTTTGTTTCATGTCTCTTATTCTGCCTGTGCTTTCACAGACTCATCTAGAGAAACAAGCAACAGTACAGCCCCCTTTGGTCTTCTCTGCCATCAGAAGTTACTTAAAACCAAAACTTGCAAAAAGACATGACAACATGACACTGTGACCTTTTATTTAAGGAATGCTATATATTTTTATGTGAGGGGAAAAGCATCTTTTAAGGGATTTTTTTTTTCTACTCTGTTGCTAAATTTGTCTGAACAAATCAGGGCAAGATATAGTGAGTATTCATATGTGCTGAGGATTTGGGTATTTTTTTGAAAAATGTTTCTTTATTATCACTTTGTGGTAACAAGCTTTTTAATTCGTTTTCTGAAGGCTTCTAAAATGTCTCCCACAAAACCACAGCCTACCAGGGCAAACCTGACTGCCTGTCGGACACTGTGCTTTGGACGAGCAATGTCTTAACTTGATACCTGTTTCTGCTTAGTTTATTTGGAACTGTTCCAAGCCTAACCACCCTGCCTGGTCTATAATTCAGTGGTGGCAAATCTTCTCTGTAAAGGTCCAGATAGTAAATATTTTAAGATTTGTGGATCACGTATGCTCTCCCTTGTATCATGTTCAACATCCTAAAAATCTTATTCATCATCCTCAAAAGAAAAAAACTTTCAAAATGTAAAAATGTCACTCTTTGTTCATCGGCCACCCAAAAACAGGTCATGGGTTTTAGAAGATCAGGTTTAAAATCACAGTCATTAGATACAGATATACAACCCCGAGGTGAGGGGGGAATTGTCTTGAGCATTTGCTTCATACACACAGCCAGCCAACAAGGACTTCCTGGCTCAAGACTAACAAGTAAAAATCTTTGGATCATGCCTCATTTGTTTCTTCTTCATTCTGTACATTTTTGCATCACAACTAGGTTCTTGTTTTTCCCATGGAAAAAAGGGAAAGCTGAAAGGAAAGAGAGAACCAAGTGGAAGAAGGGTGGTGAGGGGAGAAAGAAATGAAATACAAACTGAGAAAATAACAAAAAAAAAATTAAAGAAAGAGAAAGAAGGAAAACTTGGACGTGGCAGGAAAGAATGGAAAAAGCAGAAAAGAAGAAAAACATAAAGGGAGAGAGCAAGTGGTAGAGAGAAGGAGAGGAGAGAGAAAAGAGGAAAACAGAGAGTGAGCCAGAAAGTAAGAGCAAGAGCACACAGTCTCTCCCTCTTCCACAGAGCCAAGCAGCTCTTAGCGGCACCTCCCCAGCTGCTTTCAAATATTGAGGTTGCTGCCCAGCCACTGATCACCATCCCAAGAAGTGAAATGTGGGCTTCACATCTGAAAACTTCCACTTGCTTTTTCACCAAGTGAAATGGAACACAGAATTCAAGGCCCAAGCAAATGGCTTGTGTTTTCTTTGGGACACTTGGGCTATTTCTACCCAGGGAAAATTTTGATGTACTGTCTAACTCCAGTACATATGATTAATGTATATATAGGGCAAACCAGGATAATTCCGTTTTTTTTTTCTTCCACAGCAGGTTTTCAGCCCGAATTATCTGGATGCTTGCCTCAACTCTCCACTAGGCTTTGCCAGGATAAGCACAGCCAGTGTAGTATGCAGGAGACTGGGACCACTCCCTCTCTCCAAGGTTCCCTTCCACACCCACACCCTGTGCAGCTGAGCAGAGTGGGAACTGTCCTAATAAATTTCTTCTGGGGGCAAAAGTTTCTAAGATGCTACTAAATCCATAAATGTTGCATTCTGCTTAGATGTAAAATGGGAAAAAATATAATAGATGTGTGAACTGGGAGAACTATACTAATGGGAAAGTATCTTATACTCTTTCATTCCCCATCCCAGAAAGTGACCGGTAAAGCTGAAGTCCATGATAGCTCAATTAAATCAATTGCTGCTTGACTTATAATTTCTCTTTATGTACAGATATATATATGTGTGTGTGTGTGTGTGTGTGTGTGTGTATTACTTTTTAAAAACATTTGTCTAAGCACTTAGGACCCCTTTCTGAGAAATGACAAAGAATCATAGAAGTTATCTTTATGGCTTCTGCTGTCCCTTTTTTTCTGACAACTGCTGTTTCCTCTTGAGATAGATTTTTTGCAGAGTTCATTCCCTGCCTTCCTAGATTGCCTAACCCAATCCTAACTCTTCTCTGTAAGCATCTTTTTATTCCTGCTCTAAATATTCACATTTTACTTAATTCTTTGAGAAATTCGCACAATGAGATTTGATCACATTCACCATCCTCACCCAACTCATCCCAAATTTTTGTTTTTAAAGGTACATTTAGAATATAGCCTAACATAAAAAAAATAGTGTTGGTCTTGGAAGTATATTTACTATGACTACTGAAATGGTTTGTATGCTACTTTTTAAAATTCCAAAGTGTAGGCTGAAATTTGATGAGACAAGAATTATAGTGAAAATAAAGTCTTGGAAAATTATTAGTAACAGAAATTTCTATGAAATTACAATGAACTCATTATCCACCCAGTAAAAGTATATCCTCTTGTATTCTTGCACCAATACCATGATTCTGGGTGTGGGATTTGTTTTGTTTAGTTTTTGCTCTGGAGAAAAGGTGAAAAGCATCATGGGAAAGATACATGATAGTTTATTTTACTGTATCTTACAGATCCAACCTCTAATGATGAAGCTTCCCACATAACTTCTTTCTTTTGGGGAGCAGAAAGGAAGGAAGAAAATGAAGAGTCAGAGCTGTTGATGCATTGGGATAGTATCTTTCCACTCTATTGAGACTTTCCACCTTTCCTTCCACTTTGTTTCCCCAGCCCTCCCAGTGACAAACCTCCCCAGAGCTGTGTGTACAGTGGTTTTGTAAATTGTAATGCCGACTTTTCCCTCTGAATACACACTCTCTAAAGGAAAACACTTAAAATTATTGAGAGGTTGCATCCCAATTCAGCGAATAGCCTCATCCTCTAAAGTATTGTCAAATGTAACTACTGCATGGGAATATTCTGAAATATATTTTTTAAAAAATTAACAAGAAATTGTTAAATGGACAATTCCATGTATCTCTTGGAAATGTTTATTTTGTTGTTGCTGCTTTTGTTGTTTATGAGCAGGGATGTGTAGAAATGTTGCTCATTATTGCTTTTGAAAGTTTTCTCACTGCCACTGGTAAAAATATGGTCCTGGAAAAAGAAGATCATCTGTAAAATGTGCATCTGTAAAATAAGTTTCCCTTTTCAAATGGCTTGTATTGAGCTGTTTGATGTCCCCCATGATATGTGCTGAATGTGACTGCTTAAAAGCAGTCCATAACCTGGGGCAGATTTGTAGTGACCAATGTTGCTATGCTTCTGTAAGCACTGCTTTTGCTAGAGGGTACTGTACATTAGACAGGGCCTTGTGCTCTGCTTAGTAAAGACTGCTTTCTGGTGCAGCGCCTGTGTCCAAGTCTCTATTTTTTGATATCACAGGGATATGGGCTTCCCTTTATGGCAGGTGAGACTGTGGGAAGTGTGATTTAAAAAGGATTAATGCATGGGGTAAGCAAACCCAGAGGCAAGTTGAGTATTCTTCTACTATGAAGAAAGCCATAACATATTCACCGCGTTTTCAGAATTGCAACATAAAAGTTTATTTATAAGTATCTACCCTCCTTTCCTCTTTATCAGTCATTCTTTTCCATTACCACCCCCAACTCTAACTCCACCCTTCATTCTTCGTCCTTAAACCACAAAGCAATAGATCGTTCCTATTTAATTCATGAACACACATCACTTCCATATCTATTAGTTTGAAGGACAATATTGAGGACCTAATGCTGCAAATGACAGAGCATATTCTGATAAATAAGGTGATTGTGATTCTAGAAGAGATTTTCCACCATATCCATCTTACAATCTCTCCTGTTGGTAGCACACACACATAGCTTCTATAATATTTTACCAGTTGAATAGGCATCATGTGTACCATTATTATTTGTTAGCCAAAAGTTATAAAACACAGAAAGGAAGGAGGAAAATATACCAAACTCAAAAGTAAAATTACCAATGATTAAAGGGTTTCTGTTCATTTTTCATCAACTGGTTGATTACTTGTTCACTTACAGTACTAACTTACTAGTCTGGAAGTTTGTCTTGACTTAAATGATTAAATAAACAAAAAAAAAAACTAAAATTCACCTAAACTCTGAAGAAGCCAAAGTTTATATGGGTCATCAGTACACTGTAAGTAATAATAAAGCAAAAAATAAGGATTTTATCAGTTGTTTTTAATTTCTTAATTGTTGCAGAAATGGGCTTTCTGGATATGCAATACACAAGAGAAAATGTAATGGACTTTATGAAAGACTGGATCTAGAATGCAAACCTAATGCTTTAAAGACTAGCAATGTCTTTGTTTTACTCTTTCTCTCTTTCTGTGATTTATAGCATACATTGAAGATCTCACAAGATGTGTTGAACAAAGCAGAAGACTTATTATCGTGCTAACTCCAGACTATATTCTCAGACGGGGATGGAGTATTTTCGAACTGGAAAGCAGACTCCATAACATGCTAGTCAGTGGAGAAATCAAAGTGATTTTAATTGAGTGTACAGAATTAAAAGGGAAGGTGAATTGCCAGGAAGTGGAATCATTAAAGCACAACATCAAACTTCTATCACTGATCAAGTGGAAGGGACCCAAAAGCAGCAAATTAAATTCCAAGTTTTGGAAGCACTTAGTGTATGAAATGCCCATCAAGAAAAAAGAAATGCTATCCCATTGCCATGTTCTAGACTCTGCAGAACAGGGGCTTTTTGGAGAACTTCAGCCTATACCTTCAATTGCCATGACAAGTACATCAGCCACAATGGTGCCATCGCAAGCTGATCTCCCTGATTTCCACCATTCAGATTCAATGCAAATGAGGCACTGTTGCAGAGGATACAAACACGAGATGCCAACCAACACCCTGTCAGTACCTTCCTTAGGCAACCACCACACTTACTGTAACTTGCCACTGACACTCCTCAACGGACAACTACCACTTAATAATTCCCTGAAAGAGACTGAGGAATTTTCAAGGAACAATTCCCTACTGCCGTTATCATCCAAAGAGCTTAGCTTCACCAGTGATATTTGGTAGTGAGAAAAAAAAATCTCAATTCCTCTGAACATCTACATGAGAATATGGAATTTCTGTTATACTGAGCATAAATTACACCTAAAAACATTGAGGTGCTGAAAATGTGAAGAAAAAGGCACAAAAATCATGTTTATACTTAAATATTTTTGTTTACACTTATAGAGTAGTGGGGGAATAGAAGGTCTTGCTTTTGTAGTATGGCATCTTGTGCCAATGTACAGTTTTGATTTTTTTCCTAAAAAGAAAAAAATTGAATTGTGTCCTTTTCAAGGAAGTTTTATGGCACCACAAGGACTGCCCATATTTAAGAATTCAGCATTTAAACATATTTTTCAAAAAAAAAAAAAGGAAATCCTAGAGACTCAATGAACTTGAAAATTATGAGTGAATGTTTAAGTGAAAGGAGAACTTTTATAGAATAACAGAAAACAGTTGGGAATTACAAAGGAAAAAAATTGATACAGCTAATTGGAAGACTGTTCAGGAAGATCAGTTGAGAAAATAGTATGATTGAAACATTTACATCTTCTTCAACATAATGGACAACTTCTGTAGACTAAACCAACAGCCTGTAATAACAGCTTTTAGTTCTATTAGACAAGCACAGCAACTGTAGCCACACTGGTAGGTAGGGAAACTATGTGCATTCCTTAAGCAAACGAATAGACAACTCTAAGCTCTTTAAAGATGATTTTTAGTAAGCCTTATGACTTTCTGGATCATTAAAAAACATTTTACAACTTTGAAAATGCATCTTAAAGTGCGCATTTTATTGTTTTCTAAAACATTCCTATTTAAATGTTTTCTTCCCAAACACTCTTGTGATCCTCTCGAAGATTTATGTGAAGATGTGGGCATTGTCCTACTTGTTTTTCAGCCTCACTGCAAGTTGAACTTAAATTCATATTGACTGCAAATGTCTGCAGTTGGAAAGAAGTAATGACACTATTCAGAAATGAAGTGCTAAGCGACTCGAGTTTACTAGTAATAGAGCAGCAACTGCAGACTTTTCATTGCAACGTAGTTGTGAAATAGACTATTCTGTACATACAACGAGTCTGTTCCTGCAGAAGTATCTGTATTCCCAGTGCTTCAGAGAATATATTTGATAGACTAAACTTGTCTACTCTCATGCAGTGACTGTGACTGTACCATATGAGAACGTCTTTGTCAATAGCCTATCTCCTATTGGCTATAAGAAATGTACTCCTATTCTAGCATTTATTATGGATTATGACTTTCCATCACTTACAATTAGTTTGGTGTGCTCTCCAACTTGATACCTGTGGGGGTCAATTTCATAACTGCTTATCAAAGTTGATTCAGAAATTTTGCAAATGGTTCTTACATAAAGTTCTTGAACAATTATAAACAAGGACAATGTACACAATGTGTTAAAATTAAGACTTTGTTTACCCCCTTGTGATTGTGAGACCCCAAAGTAGAAGCAAACATAAGAAAATATTCTTTGATGATCTGTCTCTAATCTCTTTCCGTGGTTGGTTCCCTGTAATCCATCTATTCTGTGAAAGTACCTGTTTCTCTATTGCTTTTCTATATCTAACTGTTCAGAAAATGCATTATGCACCAAACTGAGTGAAATTTTCACAGTGATACACGTTCATTTCACAGGGAGACAATTAATTTCCCCTTTGAAAAGTCCTGTTCAATATATGTAGGTATTTCATAGATGTATTTTTTTCCACCAAGAATGGAAACTTCTGTTAAAACTATAGGTATTTCAAAATGAAAATGTATCAATTCTGAAGTGTTTTTCCAGTGTTATAAAGTTGTATTTACTCTGGGTGTTCCTTAATGCTATGTGTAATGACTAAATTAATAATTTGCATGAAATGAGTGCTACATGTTTTAAGTGGACAATTGTACTTTATACTATTTTATTTTTCACAGAAATCTAGATTAATTCAAATAGAATGTTCAGTCGTATTTTTAAACTAATAGTTCTGTATTGAGCATGCCAGTTCTGAAAATATAACATGGGCCTCTCTGCTTCCTTTATTTACAATGATTAAACGTGGGTAGCAATTTGAGTTGGCTGGCCACAATGTGTCCTTTCACTGCTTGTAGGTACTCAGAAACAGAGCATTCACACTTGTGCTGGGGAACTTGACAAGAAACCTTTTCTACCATTTTCAGGAACTAATGTGTACACTATCTATAAAAATTTATTTCTAGATGGCAATTCAAAATTTAATTTTCATCTGAGATTTTTTTTTGAAGATACAGCCCATAGGGTATAATAAGTAGTCTAGAACACAGTGTATGCTTCCAGTTGTTTTTACAGTGAAACTTTTTTCCCCTTTTAACTTTTCACTGAATTTTGGAAATCTAGGAAACCATGGTTACAACTATGTCCTTACACATTCAAAACAAATTTATTATTATGTTATTGTATGCAAAAATACATTTACAAACTGAATTTTAAAGGCGAAGCATTCTGAAAACCAAAATGAAAGAATATAAAAAGAATGATAATATGTACAAATCAAAACATTCCATTGAGCATAAACAATGCGCAAGGATATGGACAACATGTTCTTGGTGGTTTTGATAAGTATGGTCCCTGATCTAACCAGAAAAATAATGTTGCTGTGTACTTTCTGAAAAGAATATAACACTCACCACTGCTTCTATACCTTAATTGAATTAGAGCCAAATCTGTCCTAATTTCAAGAATTCCTTCAAAACTATGACACAGAGACTCCAGGTAACATCCTTATAAAAGGAAGATGTTTTGGTTGTGGATTGAGTGATAATATTGTGCAGTTTAAAGCTGCTAGAAGGATGCAGTGAGAAGTGAGCACAGTTCAGTTGTGAAGACACATTTATACGACTTCACTATGTGCTGAAATGGAAATGAATAGTAACCAAATGATTACAAAATGTAATCAGTTAGAAAATTATAAGCTAAAACAAAAAGAATATTCTGACAAGAATAGGGAGGAAAAGCTTCGACAACTGTAGTATTTATAGGACTTACAAGAGGATAGAATCACAGGTCCAAAGCCTCTGCTGTCTTTTGACATTTTATTTTTAAATAAACTAACACACAGGTTGAGGAAATGGCTTCATTTTGGGGGTTGGGGAGGCATTTGTTCTGAAAGTATGAAGACCTGAGTTCAAGTCCCCAGCACCTATGAAAAATCCTGACCATGGATGCATAGGAACACCCATCATTGGAGGATAGAGAGATGAAAATTCTGAGACCTAGCTGGTCCTGAAGCCTAGCTGGAAGGTAAGTTTTGGTTCAATAAGAGACACTGTCTCAAGGCAAGAAGTTGGAAAAGTTGCAGAAGACACCAAACATCCTGTTCTGGCAAATTTATATTCGTATAGGAGAGAGAGAGAGAGAGAGAGAGAGAGAGAGAGAGAGAGAGAGAGAGAGAGAGAGAATAAGCTAGTTCACTTTTACAATGTGTTTTCCAAAGAAAATACCCTGAAAATTGCACATATAAATCTTCACATTTCTTGTATTCATTTCCCAAGGCGAGGTAATGAACTGATACTAAAGCTAAGATGGAAAGTTGTCCTGTAGTGATCAGTTAAATATGAACACTGAATCACTGTTACTTCTTTTTTGAGAGTGAAGCGAATGTTGAAAATTGTTTGGCTCCAATTCCTTTATTACTCATGCATTTTTGTTGTGAGATGCCTGATACAAGGTCAGAGTTTTGAGTATTAAGGCCCTCTGATTAATATATGAAACAGTTTGATAAGCTTAATCATTCACTTTAAACTCTTTTACTATCAAAGTTGCCTTTAAAGGGAACTGAAATCAGCCAAGAGCAATTTAAGAAGAATATTTATCACTCCACTTAATTACCATGTAAACAGAACTTGTAAAATTATGTACAACCACCTACATTTGTTTTTCTACATGCTCACTGCTATTTTCTCACCTATATTTTCTCCAGATGGTGTTACAGTCTATCATTAAATGTGTTGAGTGCCTGCTGTATACTGGCCAGTGCATAAAATATAATAGGAAAATTTTAAATCACAATCCTTATTCTCAAATAGCTTATACATCACATTCATAAAGACAGCAGTGCCCGTAATACACCTCTCAGTATAGGAAAATTAATATTTTTCATGTGCAGTGACAAGTGAGATGGGCAATTCTGTATTGACTTGGGCAAGAGATAAGTTTGGTATAGAGAAAACAGTGGTGGAAATGGGAATTTCTCAAATACAGAGCATAACACATGTGAATATGGAAGGAAGAATAAAAAAGTTCTTTTCAGGTGATAGCAAGAACAGAAATCTGAGTAAGACTGGGAGGAATGTTAAAGCATTCATCTTAGAGCAAGCAGATTTAGGGGGAATTAGGAAGGGAAATGGAGACTGGGAAGCCAGTTATGAGATAATTCTCACAGTCTAGTTGAAAGGAGAGCTGGAGATAAGTGGTGACCTTAAACCTCAGCAAAAAGCAGACTGAGAAGAAGAAGAAATAGACAGGATATAGTGGTGCAAAAAAGCAGAAATAAAAAAAAACAGTAAGCAGTTCAATAAGCAAAAACATTAGTTGGATCAAAGGAACTTTGTAAGTGTTTAACCCCTGCTTTAAACTGAGCTTTCTGACACTGGCAGGGTAAGGAGACAGAAAGCACAGTGCTAGGTGTAATTGGTACTGAAATACTCTACGAAGCATTTGGAAGAGATAAATTCTCTGAAAGGGCAAAGTGCTTCTTTAAATCTGGTTTAGAAACAAGTACATTTGCTCCACTTGTAATTCCAAATTCATGAGGAAGAAAACGATGGGATTTTGTTCTCAAGTACCACTGTCTGGTTCTATTTAAATTCCACATCTCATTTTGAAATAAAGAATTATGACCTTGAAATGAAAGCATTGAAATGATTAAGTCAAGACAAGCAAAATGGCTCAGTTTGCTCAAGTGCTTGCTGCCAAGCCTGACTACCTGAGTTAGGTCCCCAGGACCCACACCGTGGAAGTAGAAGAGCTACTCCCACACAACTCCCACTCCTTCACACTTGCACCTACACACATGTGAAGAGAGGGAAGGGAAAAGAGAGAATTTAAATGTCAAATGTTAAAATAAAAAAGGTGATTCTCTAAAGATCAGTAGTCTTGTCTCGTTTCCAGCTAGAGTTCCAATACCTGTAAATAGGGCCCATCTCAAGGTGTCGATCACATCACATTTGTTGGTTAAATGGGAAAGGAAACTTGGAAGCTTCTGTGAAGTCCATCACAAAATAAGAGACATGTTATCTTTCCTTTGCTTTTTTTCGGTAAGTAACTTTACAATTTAACAAGAGGGGAAATGTATGAGATTATCTCTCGACATCCTGTTTGGGCCTAGGATTTTATGATTCTAAGTATATTTGTGGTGAGAGATCAAAGTTTCTTAAAGATGCTGCCAGTTACACAAATCATTATTCCTCAAAAGATTCAGACAGTTTAGTTCTATGAGGCCACCCAATATAACTCATTGCTCCTAACCACAACATCCCTTTCCCTAAACACATACTTTATATGCCTACTCATTGCCAACAAAAACTTCTTTTTTTCCAAAGGTTACATTTATACCTATAATTATTATTCTAGGTGGAAGAATGAGGATTAGATTAGCCTCGTTTACTGGGCACAGAGTGAGACCCAGCAGCAGCTCTACGAATGAATTCAGTATGCAGAAATACCCCAGTTTCTGTCCTCTTTCAGAGAGTTTTCCAAGCAGTACAGAAACCAAGAGTACTTCACCATCTTGATGGAGTGGTTGTGTGAAAACATCTAGAAACCAGAGTAGTTGCGTATATTTTCAGCTAGAGAAAATTCCTTACCATTTCTATTCCATTTTATAATTTAAAAAATAAACATATATAAGGGAATTGTGAATATTGTAGGCAAAGCACTTAGAATAGTACTTTGCACAGCATAAGATTTATATTGAAGTTACCACTATAATAATTATTCTACACAGAAATGGCACAGCAAACTACCATCCACCAAAAAAAAAAAAATGTACACTTTATTGTACTTCTCAAATGGAAGAGTTGAGCTATTTGGTTTCATGCCTGACTGCCTGGATGACAAAGGACCGCGGCTAAGCAAGAGGTGCATTCTGTGGTCATGGAACAGATCAGAGCTAGCTGGCCCATAGAAAGAACAAGCCTACAGTAACTTTGACCTCATTAGTAATGTGTTCTGAGCTAGACAAAAAACAGGACTCCCAGAACATGGATTATTCAGATTTGCTGTCCATGTTAATCAAAGTCCCCAGATGATTGCTTGATATTCTGCTTTACTTTAGCTAGGTTTACATAAGCTCAAAACATCTGGATGAGAAGTGAAAAAATGCAGATGTTTAAGCCTCATGATGGGAAACATCCAGATGTCTCAAATTTGGATTTGTCATTTTGTTCTTTGTTTTAAAAGAAAAAGAAGCCAAAAGAAAACAAAATAAAAATCTACCACAGTTTGTATTTCCCTTAACCTGGGCAAAATTAAGCTGGTTGCATATTATAGAATTCTAAAATGTCCAAGAGTTGATTAGGGATCTTTTGATAACGGATCCAGATGGATACGCTTCACTTTAAAAAAAAATCTGATCTATACCTACCCTTTTTGAGAGACAATGGTTTTTACAATTAGACAATATATTGGAAAAGTTGATTATACTGGCCTGTTTAGGAAAGTATAACTGAGATTATAGCAACAGTAAAGACTAATTGGCTAAAGAAATCTCTCAAAATGGTGTTTATTTTGTAAGAAGATCTGTTCTCAACTAAAATACAAACATTTCTTCTGTTTGTGAAATTACCATTTAAGAAATATTTTTTACCTTGAATATAACACAGACAGCTGACTAAAAACATAAGCAATAAAGGTAGGCATTTTTGGAATGTGAGCTGAAGATAATCAAAATTCATGAAGAAGTTTCCAAAATGCCTTTTGTCAATGCCCTAGATTAAATTATGAGTAAGCAGCCACCGTCTATGCTTTAGAATTCTACTGAACTTCTGCATTGAGAAAATAAATGCATTGACTAAGTGAAACATTAAGTCACAGAGT